TTCATTTTTTTTTGACAGCCAGAGTGGACAGTGAGAGAGAGAGAAAGGTCTTCCTTTTCCATTGGTTCACCCCGCAATGGCCACTGTGGCTGGCACACTGCAGCCGGCACACCATGCTGATCCAAAGCCAGGAGCCAGGTGCTTCTCCTGGTCTCCCATGTGGGTTCAGGGCCCAAGCACTTGGGCTGTCCCTCACTGCACTCCTGGGCCACAGCAGAGAGCTGGACTGGAAGAGGAGCAATCAGGACAGAATCCAGTGCCCCAACCAGGACTAGAACCCTGGGTGCTGGCACTGCAGGCAGAGGATTAGCCTAGTGAGCTGTGGTACCAGCTGGGCCATCTTTCTACTGCTTTCCCAGGGCAGAGCAGAGAGCTGGGTCAGAAGTGGAGCAGCTGGGACTTGAACTGGAGCACATATGGGATGCAGGCACTGTAGGCCAGGGCTTTAATGTGCTGCACCACAGTACCAGCCCCCCAACTGTTTCTTAAGAGCTTCTAACTGACCCATTAATTTTGATAAAAATTTACAACACTCAGTTTTATTATGAATCTTCATTCTAGTTTGCATGGCATATAAATGACCCCCTTGGTGAGATACATAATGATCAAACAATGGCTGCCAACCACCTCTCAGATCAATTCTTGAGCAACTATTCAGTAACTGGCCACCACAGAGTCCTGTTTGTCATGCTCTTTTTTTTTTTTTTTTTTTTTTTGACAGGCAGAGTGGACAGTGAGAGAGAGACAGAGAGAGAAAGGTCTTCCTTTGCCGCTGGTTCACCCTCCAATGGCCGCCGCTGCAGCCGGCGCACCGCGCTGATCCTGGCAGGAGCCAGGAGCCAGGTGCTTTTCCTGGTCTCCCATGGGGTGCAGGGCCCAAGCACCTGGGCCATCCTCCACTGCACTCCCTGGCCATAGCAGAGAGCTGGCCTGGAAGAGGGGCAACCGGGACAGAATTCGGCGCCCCAACCGGGACTAGAACCCGGTGTGCCGGCGCCGCAAGGTGGAGGATTAGCCTATTGAGCCACGGCGCCGGCTTGTCATGCTCTTGAACCATCAGGTGGTGCTGAATGTTCTTAATGTGTGGGGAGAGTGGGGGCAGTGGAGCAAGTTCGGCCATCTCCACTCTAGCACTCGAGCATATCACCACTTCCTCAAGCCTATACTTTTTTCAAGTACATATTCTTACATTCACAGAAAAGCAGTTTAAACCAGACTATTGTAAAAATAATTCAATGGTTATAGATGTCTGCTCATACAACATTTAAAATTGTTCAGTAAAATACTTGGTGATTTTTAAAAAATGATTTATTTATTTATTTGAATTGCAGATTTACAGAGAGAGAGAAAGAGAGAGAGAGATCTCTGCTGGTTCACTCCCCAAATGACCACAATGGCCAAGGCAGGGCTAGATTGAAGCCAAGAGCCAGGAACTTCATCTAGGTCTGCCACATGGGTACAGGGATCCAAGCACGTGAGCCATCATCCACTGCTTTCTCAGGCTCATTAGCAGAAAGCTGGATCAAAAGTGGAGCAGCTAGGACTCAAACCAGCACTCATATGGGATGCCAGTACTGCAGGCAGTGGTTTAACCCACTAAGCCACAGTGCCTGCCCCAAAATGATTTTCGGTTTCTGTATGATAGCCATACTAACTGGGGTGAGGAGAAATCTCACTGTGGTTTCTATTAGCATTTCCCTGATCGCTAGTGATCCTGAACATTTTTTCATGTATCTGTTGGCCATTTGAATTTCTTCCTTGGAAAAATGCTTGTTAAAACTGCCTGTTAATATAACAGGAAAAATGCCTGTTGCCCATTTCTTGAACTGGATTCTTTGTTTTGTTGTTGAATTTGTTAAGCTCATAGAGATTTCGCAAATTTTTACTAATAGTTTGTGAATATTTTCTTGTATTCTGTCAGTTGCTTCCTTAGTTGCAGTTCAGAAGTGTCTTAGCTTGATATAATCTCCTTTGGCTATTTTTCCTTTTATTGTCTGTGCTTCATGGGGTCTTTTTCCAAAAGTCTTTTTCTATGACAGTGTCTTGCAGAGTTTCCCTGATATTTTCTCCTAGATTTAGATGATTGATCCAATTACAGTTAATTTTTGTGCAAGTTGCAATGTGGGGATCTTGTTTCCTACTACATTGTGAAGAACAAATTTTCCCAGCACTATTTTTGAAGAGATTGTCCTTTCTCCAGAGATTGCTTTAAATGTGTTTGTCACAAACTAACTGGTTTTAGACATGCAGATTAATTTTCAGAGGTTCTATTCTGTTTAATAGGTCTACATGTCTTTTGGCATGCCAATAACAAGCTATTTTTATTATAACTGCCCTGTAGTAGATCTTGAATTCTGGAAGTGTGATGCCTCCCTCTTTGCTTTTATTAAGATTGCCTTGGAATTTCATCCCAATTTTAACATCATTTTTTTCCTAACTCTGAGAAGAATGTTGTTGATATTTTGATTGGGATCATGTTGAATCTGTAAATTGCTTTTGGGGGACTGGCACTGTGGAATAGTAAGTTGAGCCTCTGTGGCATTGGCATCTCATGGATGCCAGTTTGGGTCCCAGCTGGTTCTCTGATCCAGCTCTCTGCTCATGGCCTGGGAAGGCAGAGGAAGACGGCCCAAGTGCTTGGGCTCCTGTATCCACATAGAAGATGAGGAGGAAGCTCCTAGCTCCTGGGTTCAGATCAGCCTAGCACCAGCCATTACAGCCATTTGGAGAATTAACCAGCAGTTAGAAGACATCGCTTTCTGTCTCTCCCTCTCTTTGTCTATAACTGCCACTCAAATAAATAAATGATTGTAAAAATAAAATTAAAAACAATTTCTTTTGGTAGTATGGGAATTTTGATGATATTAGTTCTTCCGATTTATGAACATGTATTTCTTTAATGTTTTGTAATTTTTCTTGTAAAGATCTTTCACACCCTTGACTAAATTTATTCCAAGGTAATAAAAAATGTTTATGGTTATCGTGAATGGCACTGATCTGATAAGTTATTTTTCAGCAATGGCATATTTGTGTATGTAATGGTTATTGATTTTTGTGTATTGATTTTATATCTTACAACTTCACCAAACTCTCTTATGAGTTTCAATAATCACTTGGTGGAGTCTTTTGGTTTTCCAATATATAGGATCATGTTATCTGCAAACAGATTATTGGACTTTCTCCTTTCTAATTGTTTTTTAATTTCTTTTGCTTGAATTATTGCCATGGCTAAAGCTGTTAGTAGTGTTGGAGAGCAACTGTGGTTTCAGATCTTAATGGAAATGCTTCCAAGATTTCCCATTCAATATGATGTTGTTGAAGATTTGTCATATATTGCCTTGATTGTGTTAAGGAATGTTCCTTCTATACCCAACTTGCTTAAGGTTTTTATAATGAAAGGCTGTTTTTTATCAAATACTTTCTCTTCGTCTATTGAGATCATCATGTGGTTTTTATTCTTTAGTTTTCTAGTGTCACATATCACATTTATTGATTTGCATATGTTGAATGATCCCTGCATACCAGGGGTACATTCCACTTGGTCCAGGTAAATTATCTTTATGATCTGTTGTTGGATTTTAATTAGCTAGTATTTTGCTAAGAATTTTTTGCATCTGTGCTTCAGAGATATTGTTCTTTAATTCTCTTTCTCTATTGTATCATTTTCTGGTTTAGAAAATAAGGTGACACTGGCCAAATAGAAGGAGTTTGGGAATACTCTTCTCTTTCAATTGTTTTGAATAGCTTAAGAAGAATTGGAATTGGTTCTGTTTTGAAAGTCTGGTAGAATTTAGCACTTGAAGCTATCTGGTCTTGGGCTTTTCTTTGAAGAGTTTTTGTTACTGATTCAATCTCTGTCTTGGATTTTTGGTTTGTTTAGGTTTTCTATATGTCTTCATGACTCAATTTTGTTATCTAGCATGTGTTTTTCTTCCAGGTTTTCTAATTTGTTGCCCATTGCATGTGATGCCCACATTCTATATTGCAGTGCTAATCTAAGTTTTCAGTGTTCCACTTTTTTTTTTTTTTTGACAGGCAGAGTGGACAGTGAGAGAGAGACAGAGAGAAAGGTCTTCCTTTGCCATTGGTTCACCCTCCAATGGCTGCTGCGGCTGGCGCGCTGCTGGGCAGCACACCACGCTGATCTGATGGCAGGAGCCAGGAGCCAGGTGCTTTTCCTGGTCTCCCATGGGGTGCAGGGCCCAAGCACTTGGGCCATCCTCCACTGCACTCCCTGGCCACAGCAGAGAGCTGGCCTGGAAGAGGGGCAACCGGGACAGAATCCGGCACCCTGACCGGGACTAGAACCTGGTGTGCCGGCGCCGCTAGGTGGAGGATTAGCCTAGTGAGCCGCGGCGCTGGCCAGTTTTCAGTGTTCCACTTCCAAACCAATTTCCTGCTTAATATCTCTGGGAATCATGGGGTAGTGGCTCAAATTCTTCAGTTCCTTTCACCTAAGTGCAAGATCTACTACTTACTAGGGGACCTGAGAGCCTGGTTCAGCCACAGCTTTTGCAGACATTTAGAGAGTGAACTAACATATGGAAGACCTCTCTGCCTCTGTCTCCTCAACCACTTTCTGTGTGTTTCTCTGTCCTTTTTTGAATAATTTTAAAAGTTATTTAATTCTTTATTTGAAAGTCACAGAGAGAGAGAGAGAGAGACATAGAGAGATCTTGCATCATCTCGTTCACTCCCCTGGTGGCTCCAATGGCCAGTGTTGGGCCTTGTTGAAACCAGGAGCTTCTTCTGAGTCACCCAAAGGGGTGGCAGGAGCCCAAGTGCTTGGGCCATCTTCCACTCTTAATCAGACCATTAGCATGAAGCTAAATCAGAAGTGGAACAAGTGGGACTTGAACCGGTGACTTTATGGGAAGCCAGTATAACAGATGGCAGCTTTGCATACTGCAGCACAACACCAGCCCCCTCTCTACCTTTCAAATAAACAAATATTTAAAAAAGAAATGAAAATGTTCTTAAGGAGGCAAAAGTCATCATGATTGAGCACTGAGGAATCTATTAAAATGATTACATTTTAAAAGATTTATTTATATATTTAAAAGGCAGTGTTAGAATGAGAGACTGATCTTCCTTCTGGTTTGTTCTCCAAAATGACTGTAATGACTGGGGCTAGACCAGGCTGATCTTGTAAGATAGGAGCTTCTTCCAGATATCACATGGGTTCAGGGGCCCAAGCATTTGGGCAAGCCTTTGCTGCTTTCCCATACACATTAGCAGGGAGCTGGATAAGTTTGGAACATCAATATCTATGACATCTTCCTTGCAGTACAAGGATATAGAGCCCATCTGGCACAATTAACATCCTATTTATGGGTGGGCCAAGTATAACAGCTTCCAACTCTCAAGGTTTGGACTAGATGGGTTCTGAGGAATTGTGATATAATAGATGCTAATTCATAACTCTTGGTTTAAGCTTTTGTTAGCAGATAATGCTGTGACTACTTTGGGTCTCTGGATTGTCACCAGTGAAGGCATCCAGATTAATAGTAATGAGATCAACAGTCAGCAAAATGGTGTCCAGCTGAACTTAAATGGTTTTTCTTTTTTATCATTAGAATAGTGACCTCCTGCTATACCCTGGCATCTGGACATAGACAGCAGACATTGGAAGCCATCCCCTTTGCCAAATGGAGTATGCCAAGTTTGGGTCCATCATCTATTAAGGAGGTCTTAGTAGCCATTCTCATGTTTTACTGTTCTATATCCATGGCCAAAGTCCTACTAGATAACAAGGTTTGGAGAATCACAGGCTCAAGGTGTGTAGGTGACTTTTTCCAGTATAGCACAATTAATAGAAATCTAATTTAATTCTACTGGCACATAGCAAGGTTCCAAGAGAGGTTATTCCTTGCATCACAGCCCTTGAGAAGTAATGGATATCACAAATGATCCAGAGAATTTAGAAGATATATGAGCTCCATGAGTGAAGAAGTCACTGAGAGCACTAAGGATAGTGCCTACAGAATTCAATCTGACTTTTCATTGGAAAAGGGGCCATATAAGCTGGGCTGATTTATAGCATCCATGACAGTTAATTTTTTAAATGAGGCATGCATTGCACCAAAACCCAGGAAGGACTAAAAGGTATTAGTATTGTATGTTCTTCACAAGTGTGTCAAATAGTCTCATGAAGGGAGGAAGTCATCAATGTGATATATTCCCAGAAATGACTAAAAGGTATTAGCATTGTATGTTCTTCACAAGTGTGTCAAATAGTCTCATGAAGGGAGGAAGTCATCAATGTGATATACTCTTGTGCTCCTGATAAAAGCTGGGTACAGTTAAATTCTTTGCAAAAATTATGTTTGATGGCTAAGTCAATGAAATGCTCATGTATAACCTAGAAAAAGTGTCTTTTCAAAGTGAAGGCAAACTAGACTGAGGAGCTGTTGGAAAAGCTTTGAGCAAAAACACATTTGCCACTTTTTTTTTTTTGACAAGCAGAGTGGAGAGAGAGAGAGACAGAGAGAAAAGTCTTCCTTTTGCTGTTGGTTCACCCCCCAATGGCCACTGCGGCCGGCGCATCGTGCTGATCCAAAGCCAGGAGCCAGGTGCTTCACCTGGTCTCCCATGCAGGTGCAGGGCCCAAGGACCTGGGCCATCCTCCGCTGCACTCCCGGGCCATAGCAGAGAGCTGGCCTGGGAGGGGGCAACCGGGATAGAATCCGGCACCCGGACCAGGACTAGAACCCGGTGTGCTGGTGCCGCAAGGCAGAGGATTAGCCTATTGAGCCACGGCGCTGACATTTGCCACTTTTGTTTTAGTTAAGACAGGTCATTTATCTATTAAGAGGCATCAGATATGTTAATATTAGATATAAAGTGTGGTGGACATAATCGATGGCATATAGCATTAAGATTTTAGTAATCTACCATGAGATGCCATTTACTTTTTTCCAGATTCAACAGGTAAAATTGGGCTTCCAAGTGGGAAACAGTTGGAATAATCACCTTTTTGTTTATTAAGTTTAATGTAATAGATTTTAATGCATGAAGACATTGAGTTTCCTTTTATTATGTCATCTTAATTATTTTAGTTTGGGACCTGTGGAGTGTTATTTTCCCTAGTTAAGTTGTAGCTTAAAATTTTTATTTTAATAATTACTTGCTGTGTTAGGCCATCTCTCCCACCTGTGGGATTTTTTGAGTACATCTGACTATTGGAAATTTAGGTAATATTATAGTTAAAATGAGATGTACCAAATAAATAATTTTTTTCTTCTGATACATATTTTGGAACTTTTCTAAAATGGTATTGAGCACCCTGTTTAAATTTAGGGGGATTCCCTGTGTAAGACTGTTATTTGAGCCACATTACTGATTACTTCTATGAAACTCTGTGAATAAGTGCATCTAGAACCTGGAAAAGTTGATGTCTTATGCTGAAGAGACATAAGAATCAATGTCTTTTTATCTTTTTTTAATTATATAATTTACAAATAAGTTTTAGATGTCTAAAAGGATGAAATTATGTACTTTTCAGAAATTTATACCTATATACAACTATAATTGATATATTTTACATTTTCTTTCTTTAGGTTTTTAAGACTTCTTAGGGCTGCCACTGTGGTGTGGGCAGAGGCCCACACACTTGGGCCATCTTTTGCTGCTATTTTCCCAGGTTCAATAGCAGGGAGCTGGATCAGGAGTGGAGAGACTGGGACACAAACTGGCACAAATATGGGATACCATTCCCATCTAGTAAAACTTGATCAGATAACACTGGTTGCTTCTATTAGTGATAAGTAGCTCAAGCTTGACCTCAAATTTAGTCCTTGTAGGATCCTGAATTAGTTTCAGTCTGTGATCCTCACTCTCTTTATATCTTAGGGACTATATTTTTCAGTATTGATTCAGTAAAATCAAGTGTTAGAGCTCCTATTTCTAAGTGCTTGAAATTATAAATGCTGGTCAGAAGGTGTATTTAGGGCTTGGTGCCATGGCTCACTTGGTTAATCCTCCACCTGTGGCACCGGCATCCCATATGGGCACCAGATTCTAGTCCTGGTTACTCCTCTTCCAGTCCAGCTCTGTGCTGTGGCCAGGGAAGGCAGTGGAGGATGGTCCAAGTGCGTGGGCCCCTGCACCCCCATGAGAGACCAGGAAGATGCACCTGGCTCCTGGCTTTGGATCAATGCAGGACTGGCAACAGCAGCCATTTGGGGAGTGAACCAGCACAAGGAAGACCTTGCTGTCTCTCTTTTACTGTCTATAACTCTACCTGTCAAATAAAAACAAAGGTGTATTTAAAATCAGTGAAAGAAAATGAATTGTAAAAGATCAATCAACAACAATTGAGTGTTGTGTGCTGCCTTCCCACTTTCTTCTCAGGAAATCCACAGAATTTTCAACCATAATTCTAAAATCAGCAACTCCTACTGTCAGAAGTGTGTGGCTACCACTATGGGGAGCAATAATTTTTAGAAAGGACAAGGGAATTCACTATTTCATGATACTATTCTTTTCTGATGCCTACAACTTCATTTTCTGTTTACATTGTATGATGCTGGGAACTAAGTAATGATTTTATTCTGGGTCTGAGGTGAAGTTATGTAAGATTGAAGTTCAAGACTGAGGTCCTTCAATTTGCAGAATGAAGTCACTGAAAGGCAATTACCAGATAAGTGCTGATACAGGCATTTGCATGGCACAATTCGTACACTATACATAGAAAAAATGACCAATAGCTGTGGGCTAACAGTCAATGGCCCATGAGACCATCACTCAAATCCTCAAGAGTTTGTCTATAATTTCATGGCAGTTCTCATTTAGACTAGAAGAGGAGTAAAAGCAGGAGCTCCATGACACCCTAATATTTGTCTCTGGCCTAATTTGTGTCAGAAACCACTAATTAAGTGTGGGTTTTTTTAAAAATATAGCTTTGTTAAAAATATACAGATAACTGGATGTGATGGATAGATGAATTTCAGGATGTTTTGGGTAAAGAATTTCTAGGTAGTGCAGTTTTAAATATTCACAAAGATTTTACAAGGCATTCACCCTGTTTTCCAGCCATATTAATGCCCAAATTATTACTATTTTACTGTAAAATATGATCCATTGATGGTCCACAAATTATTTTAACAGGTAAGATCAAGCATCATTTTAAAGGATTAAAAATGATTTATTCAGGATATTATTTTCTTCTTTAAACACTAAAGTTAAAGAGAGTCCTTGGAGGTTTTTTCTAAGTATCTGTAGAAGTATTTGAGGTTTTAGAACCACAATTTAATTATGAGAATTTAAAAAATATTAATATATAATGACAATTTCCAAAAATTCTATCCACATTTTAATTTCTCCACTTATAGTATGTTTCTTTTCTTTTCTTTCTTTCTTTTTTTTTTTTTTTTTTTTGACAGGCAGAGTTAGACAGTGAGAGAGAGAGAGAAAGAGAGAGGCAGAGAGAAGGGTCTTCCTTTTTCTGTTGGTTCACACCCCAAGTGGCTGCCATGGCCGGCATGCTGTGCTGATCCAAAGCCAGGAGCCAGGTGCTTCTCCTGGTCTCCCATGCAGGTGCAGGGCCCAAGGACCTGGGCCATCCTCCACTGCACTCCCAGGCAACAGCAGAGAGCTGGCCTGGAAGAGGAGCAATTGGGACAGAATTCAGCACCCTGACTGGGACTAGAACCCAGGGTGCTGGCACCACAGGTGGGGGATTAGCCATGTGAGCCATGGTGCTGGCCAACTTATAGTATGTTTCTTTCAAATGTATTTGCCAAGCCAGGAATTAATGAGGAATTGGAATATTATGCAAACACTTCATGTGGTTAGACAAGTTTTATGTATCCTCACTGTATCCTAAGAGGTTGATTTTCCAGCAAATTTCTTCCTAATGGAGGTGTGCACTGTTTTACAGGGAAAGTAGCTTCATCAGCCCATGATGTCAACAGGGAAAGATCATGGAAAGTCTCCTTTGTTTTCCTTCTCAGCATATGCCATTGCAACCACTCCCACCATCTTTAGAGAATTTCTGGTCCTGAAGCTGTCCTCATATTGCTCAAGAATTGTGTGATTGGTTTCTATGTCTGTTAATGTTAGTGTGGAGGTAAAAGGAACTTTGGAGAGCAGGGCAGGTTCCTGTCTCTTGATGGCATAGGTGCAGTTGTAGATTGGAGGCATTATAATCTCTCTTTCAGGTACACCCTATAGACCTTGGCTGGTTCAGGAAGGGATACCAGTGGTAGATCCTCAGTTCCAAAGCCATAGAAGGAATGAATAATGTTGGATTTTCCAGGATTTTTTTTTTTTTTGTCAGAAGATGAGGGGCTAGCGCTGTGGCTCAGTGGTTTAGTGCCCTGGGCTGAAGTGCCAGCATCCCATATGGGTGCTGGTTCTAATCCCGGCTGCTTCTCTTCTGATCCAGCTCTCTGCCGTGGCCTGGGAAAACAGTAGAAGATAGCCCAAGTCCTTGGGCCCCTGCACCCATGTGGGAGACCCAGAAAAACTCCTGGCTCCTGGCTTTGGATTGGCACAGCTCAGTTGTAGCCATCTGGGGAGTGAACCAACATATGGAAGACCTCTCTGTCTCTATGCCTTTCTGTAAATCTGCCTGTCAAATAAATAAAAATAAATTTTTTTTTTTAAAGAAGATGATGTGTCTGACAGAAGACCAGTGGGTCTCCAGGTATACAGAAAGGGGTTCTAAAATCTCTGTAGACAACTAGTCTCATACAAGATGGCCGTGGGATGGAGATGGGTATTCAGACCATTTGAGCTGAACTGTGTATGAGCTGAATGTAGGTTGCACCTCTGT